CTGGGGTGCTGCCGGGTTGGTCCAGTAGTGCCCAGAGCGGCGCTGCAGGACCAATCGGCAGCGCCCCAGCTGCTCTGCCCCAGGGTCCACAACAAAAGCCTGGTCTGCTGGGGGGAGAGAGGCACACTAGCTGCCCTCCCCCTCAGCAGACCAGGGACACAGGGAGCAGAGCTGCAGCAGAGCTTTTGCCAGAGCAAAGCTTCAGAAGCGCGGGAACCCGCCGCTGCTGCGGCTTCCGTTGTCTGCTGGGGACCGTCCCCAGCAGACCACAGGCACCGGGAGCAGCTTACGAACGGGGCTCTCTCGCCCCGGAGCTCGCAGGCAGCAATCTGCCACCTCGACCTCCGGGGCGAGAAAGCCCCGTTCATAAGTGCGGATCCGACATAAGTCGGATCCGCGTAAGTCGGGGACTGCCTGTATTCTGTTTTTTTGGCTAATAACCTTGTTTTTTCCTCATCTCTCTCAGCCGTATTTCATTCATTCAAAAGTACATAGAAGGCAACACGGTAGATTAACAATGGTTTAACAGAGGATAAATGGATTAAATACTACTGAGTCCACATGTGGAATATCTTGCACTGTTCCAAGTATCTCAAAAATGATAAAAAGCTTGATTCTCTGGTCTTTTTACACTGCCAAAAGAAAGTTGATAAAACTTTTTACAGTTTTATTTTATTAATTAAAATAAATCACTTAGATTAGGGGGCGTAACATTGACACACTGGCTGGCTTTGGCTATTAGTTCCTTGAATCTTTAAAGGAAAGTCTAAGCCAGGTGTGGGCAAAAGCCTTTCATCAGGCCAAATCTGGCCTGCTTGGGCTTTTGATCCAGCCTGCGAGGCAATTACGGGCAGGGGGAGGGGGGAGAGAGGGAAGCAGCTCAGCCCCACCCCTGCTGCTGAGGCTCCTCAACAGGGCTGGCTCTGGAGGTTCTAATTCCGTGGCCATGCGGTCTGGGGCTAGCCCCAGAGGCTAGAGATGTCGCTGACACAGCACCTCTGGGGTCAGGCCCAGACCACATGCTCACAGTAGGGGTGCCTCCAGGGCTGGCCACGGGCCACGGTAGCAGCTCCTCCAGGGCTGGCCCCAGGACACATGCTCGCAGTAGGGGCTCCTCCGAGGCGGGGCCCAGGCCGTAAGCTCGGGGTAGGGGCATTTCTGGGCCTACCCCAGGCTGTCTGGCCATGGTAGCCAGCCCTGGGCCTAGCCTGCGTGCTCGCAATAGCAGCACCTCTGGGGCCGGCCCCGGGCCACCAGGGTGCAATAGCAGCACCTCTGGGGCTGGCCCCGGGCCATGGCACCTCCGGAGTGGCATGGGACTGTGTGGCTGGGGGGCCTCAGGGGCTG